TCCTGCGGAAGAAACCTTGGACTCAATTATGCCGGAGAAGCGGTCGTTCTGATTTTTAAATCTCTGCTCGCCGGACCCGTTGTATCTCCTTTGATCATCATTACGATCGTCGTGGTTCAACTGGGAAGCAACCAGCTTATCAAGAGCCCTCCAATCACTCACTCTATTATTATGCTCATCGTCTTCTTCTCTGTTACTTCCATGGACGTCGGAGATTGCCTGCGGATTGGACTTGTTTACAACGCCGGAAAGAATGTCGGTACAGACCTATTCTTAGCTTCATAAGATTCATATATATCCCAAAAAGGAAGGAAACTGTTATTCCGAGCAGATGGAAACGCTCAAATTCGAGAAGTTGAACATGGAGGACGTGCAGATCAGAGAATGCCTTGAAAGAGATAATTATAAAGTAAGCAAAAGTGAAATGACTATTTTACCCCTAAAACTAACATCCACTTAACCTTCATTTGACGGAAGGACTAACATTGGAAAGAATTTGAAAGTCAAGTGTCTAAATTGTCCAAATTAAAAGTCAAGGACCAATTGTGGAAAATCAACATAGTTAGAGGACCATTGTTGGAATTAACTCTAGTTTAGAGCATCCACACCAAAGAAGATTTCACGGTACACAAGAAAAATTTATCTACATGGAAGAGAGAGAGTGTAGGAGAGAGGTTTTTGAGCTCCTCCTGCAAATGTTGGGAGAATTCAGAGTTGGTGGGGCCTACTATAATTTATGCTAGTGGTGACAGCCACGCATGGCTGTCACCAATGCGCCCAGCGGGCTCGGCGCGCCTGACAATCATAAATATTTACATTTTTTTTTTAAATTCTGTTTTGCAATTTTTTTTTTCCTTTTTTTCTCTTCCATCACATCTTCTCTTTCCTAATCACTCTTACATTCTCCCCCAATTCTCCCCAACTAGTGTGGATGCTCTTATAAGAAATCATTTTAATCTGTAATAGATTTATGTTCATGTTTTAAAAACATTTTTTACTTTTAACTAAACACTAGAAAATGAAAGTGTTTTGTGGAAAATGAATCATTTTCCATAAAACATTTTTTATATTTTCAACGATGAACTCACATTAATGACTTAATGAACCTATAAGTGTGATTTAATGAACTTGTGAATTTGTGATATAATAAACCTGCAATATCTACTTAATGAACTTAATCGTAGTAGTGATATAATGAACTTGCAATAATGACTTAATGAACTTACAGTATTAACATAATGGACTTGTAGGTTCATTAAAAAAAATTGAAAAAAATTATCAATATTGATGTCGTTTAAAATATCCTCTCACTTAAAAGTTTTTTAATGATATATATATTTTTATAACTTATTGTTATTTGTACAAAAAGAAAAGGAGAAAAACAAAATTTATTATATTTTGATTCTAATTTTAGTTTAGGTTGCAAAATGGACTTTGGTTCATGGTCCATTTTCACCATCTCTCCCCTCCCAACAAATTATTATGTGGATCATGTTCCACACAGTGCTATGTGGACTATAAAAAAAATACATTTTTAATATACGAAAAGTACATATATTATTACGTAGAAACCACTTTTCTCTCCCAAAAACTCAACTGCTTTCTCTCCCATTTTTAGCTGCTCACATGAAGTAAAGGCTCGGCTGACACTCTGATGGAGGATTGAGCCGGTGGTGCCATTAGTAGACCAGATTTGTGAAGAAGCACCGAGTTCATCCAACAACTTCGGCTTCAAGTTTGTAAAACAGTCTACGATCCAAGTTTTCTATAACATTGCTAGAAATTTTTTTTCTATGTCTGACGGTAAAAAATGCATTGTCATCCTAACGATCTGTATTGTAAACATTTATGCTTATGATTAATGAATTAATTAGCTTTTTATTTTTCAAAAAAAATACATATATTATTTGTGTACTGAATGTACATTATTTGATAGTATAAAAAAATAATGTACTTTCAATACTTAAATAATGTACTTTTTATTTATGGTACATACAATTGTATGGACCATGATTCACACAATAATGATTGCTCCCTCCCCTTAAGTGACATTGGTTTAAAAAAAAAAAAAAAAAAAAAAAAAAAAAAAAAAGAAACAACTTTTTATTTTCATAAGCTGCCTAGGGATTAGTCAATCACACCATACGTTATAACATATTTAAGAAGTGAATAATATGAAATGACTTATAGGGGTGTCTTGTATTGTTCAAAATTAAATAGAAGATGCAAATAAGTAAAATTATTCTTTTTGTTTATGAACAAGTTGTCCCGTATCAACGTACAAATTAATTTCATATGTTGATCTATAACTTTCAATAGCTTGCCACACATGGTTATCTCATGATGGACTTTAATTTGTTCGGTCAAAGTTTATGATTATCTCATTATTAAGGTTAATTGAAGTCTTAATTGTTTAGTTAATTGTTTTCTTCCGAAATAAAAGCATTTGACGCCGGCAATCACGTAAGTAGAACGTGGAAGAATAAGAGTAGAGAAGAAAGTCCAATTTCTTTGAATTTCCAAGCTGTCCTCAACTACTTGATTGAGTGATGCACAACTCAATTCTATACGTATTGCTCCTTCTCTGATCTTTTGGGATAACCTTAAACCAGCTTTTAATAATTCAACTCACTACATCATTTCGATATTTTGAATATACCATAAGTTCTTTATTTTATTTTTGGTCTGACCCTATCTAATTTTTGAATGATTTATCAGACTTTGTGTTGCGATACGGCTATAGAGTTGTGAAAAAATCAAAAGTGACAATTGAAATTTAAACATTAAAAAGGGTATGATGGGATAATTGGCTCGATCGAGCAGCCAATTTAAATATATAGGTTATCACGACCTAGTTTAGTCGCTTTAATTTGGTTCAGAAACGCCATAATCTAATCCCGAAATCGATTCACAAATAACAACCCATAGGAATCAATGCGAGAGGACGTGGGATATATGGTCTCAACTTAGCTCCAAGAACCCGAGCCAGCGAAGACTGTATGGTGGGAGACATTACAAGAATATTAGGAGACTTATACTTCATTTAATAATCACGAAGAGCCTATTGACCTTCTTGATTTATACCCCTTTACCAGTTAGGATCACAAGACAGAATTTACCACCGTATCTTCTGGTAGTGAGGTCAGGCCCCCTACCCCTGAACTTCCATCCCTCTATTTACCACCTTATCGCTATCATGGGACATTTGGAACAGATCGAAATTGTGATGTTATTTGTCTGTTGTTTATAATGAAGTGGTTGGAATACGACATTATATTGTGAATGGAGGTGTGGTGTGGCCACTATACACACACACTCGGTGCATGCTGTGCTATATATCATATCATATCATGCACTCTATAGTGCCACTTCAAATCACACCCATACATATGATATTTGGAATCTGGGTCTTTAATTTGGAAAAAAAATATCAAGGCGAGTTTAATTTAAACTTCGGTAATGATATTGTGAGGATTACATCTAAAATGGACAAATTTCTTGTGTATATTGTTATTAAATTATCATGATTTACATCTTCAATTCCCAAATACTCTGTGGGTATCAGGGGCCCTTCATGTTAGGGATTCAACCTTTTGGGTGAAGTTTGATATTGCTTCTTTATCTTAGGCTACTGTCTTTTATTATTATTTTCATAGCACGCCAATGACCCCATTGTGCACATAATGTAAGTGTTCTAAACAAAAACTATGAATAGTATCTAAATCTAAATCTTATATAAAATTCAACCATGTTAAACTTTTAATTGGAATAGGAAAAGTTAACAAGGATTTTACCATATCCGTAAGTATATAATTAACAATTATGTCAACGCTGATTAATTGAGATGTGGTTCAAACTTAAAATTTTTCTTATTATAGAAATTAATGAGTAAGAATAATAAATAGTTAACAGAATATTCAGATATTAAAGTTTATACTAACGGAATGTATGGTTATTTAAGGGAAGAAAATAATATAATAGTGGGTAAATAAGAAAAATCATAAAAAAAATATTAAAATCAAATAATATGAACCATTCATTTCAAGAAACAATTACACCAACATTATTTTTTGTTCCTGTTAAGGGCCTAACTTTTTTGGCTTATATTAGATTGTAAGATTAAAAATGTGTTTTTATGGTCTACACAATACTAAATAATTTGAGGGCATAGATTCTTTAGTCTGAAAATGTTTGAAAAAGTATAAAAATACTACCTTGTAAAGAATCATGAGTATTTAAAAAATAAAATTAAAAGTAAATGAGGAAATAAATTAATGTTTATATTATGTAAATAAAAAACTATTCGAAATATAAAAATGTCGGTTATTTTTTATTAGTTAAAAGACAAAGAAGATTAGTAGAGAAGCAAACATTATGCTCATGTACTTTTTTTGGTTTATTTAATAGACATAAGATGATGGAAGTTAGATCAAAGACTAATACTATACATATTTATAAAAGTAATGCTACTCGTTGTTTCCAAATTTTTTCCTTTTAGTTTCTCCTTATGTTATAATATGGATATTTTATTTACAAATTGATAAGGTAAGTAAACTCATGGCCACCCAATAATTATAAACCACGTTAAAATGAAATTTATTCAAAAATACATTATAAGACATAAAAAATATATATATTTTTTATTTATAATAGAATAAATTTCGTCTAATATAATATATTGGGATCAAATCAAATAATTAACCATTCGATACATTTCAATTTCATAATCAATCAATTAAAATATATCACATTAATCAAAGTTTATCCCGTCAAAAATATTTTAAGATTTTTTTTTTTTCGTGCTAAGATAGAACTTTTGGTACAATTGTGCAAGTAGAATATATATATATTTTTTTTATCCAATACAAAAATACTTTACAAAAGGAATAAACTAAAGAACGGGCCATGCTGACTAGGACCAACCAATGCTTAGCGTGCAGGTCCCACCCGTGCGGGCCCACAGGTTGGACACTTTCTCAAGGGAGATATAGTCCAAGCAATCCTCATTTCCACCATTTGAATAAGTAACATATATCCCCGCCGGCGCCGGCGCCGAGCTCCCTGTAACAGGGGCTGCGCCACCGTGAGGGATCCATGTCAGGCGACCACGAGCGCCAGGAGGAACACCCACTTCCGCCGCCGGCGAAAACGCCGCCCCTTCTACCGCCACTCGCGGCTTCGTCGTCCTTGTACAAACAGAACACGTGGTCCCCGGAGACTTTCCGCGACGAGGTGTGGCAGCGGCGGAAAGAGAACCACGGGAAGCACCTGAAGCGGCGGAGCAAAAGCGTCACCGATGAAGATCTCAACGAGCTGAAGGCGTGTATCGAACTCGGGTTCGGGTTCGAGTTGGACTCGCCGGAAATGGACCAACGCCTCTCCGAGACTTTCCCGGCCTACAGCCTCTTCTACTCCGTCAACAAGCATCTCAACGACACCGTTTCAAAGACCGCCAACGCCTCCGATTGCGACACCGCCTCCTCCGTCGGCAGCCCCGACGCCATGTTCGCCCCCGGTAATCTCTCTAATTTTATATTCTATGTATCCCATTTTACCTATCATAATTAAGTTTTAATCTAACTATACTGAATATTAGTATACAAGAGATCTGACCTCGTATAAGAGCGGAAGCTATAACCGTGTTGATTTCCAGCCACAGTTGATGTTCCTGTTATGTTGCCTCTAGACCGTTAGTCATGTTTTGCCTTAGACTAGACTCAGAACTCTAAGTGGTGTATTGGTGTCTACTGATCAGTCTGAGTACAGTAACTTGAATGTGTTGTCTAATTCGAAAACCTATATCCCATCAATCCAGGTTTATATTAGACACAGAGTTTAGTTGACTAATAACTTCTAGTTATTCATCCAACCAGACCACTTAATAAGTCTAATCAACTTGCACTACTTAATTAAAGCCTTAATATATAATATACAATATATATTATTAGGGAAAATCTTAAGTGATTTTGCTTAAAAAGCAAGTATTTTGAAATGATTAATATATATGACATATGAATCTGAGTTTGTGGTGGATGAAGGAGAACGGCCAGAGATTGTGAAGACGAGGTTGAAGCGATGGGCTCAAGTGGTTGCCTGTTCTCTGCGTCACTCTTCCAACTAACGTACGGTGATGATGACGACGACGAATGATCAGTACAGTGTAACCAATTAAAGACAGGTTTTTTGTTTTGTTTTTTTCGATAATGTTTGTGTTACAAATTGATGATGATGACGATGATTTGCCATGTCTTTTCTTATGCTCTCTATCGTGTTCTTACTCCTTTTTTAGAGCAATGATTGTGAGAGGGAGGGATGGCCGGAGATTACTCTCTCTTTCACGATTCCCATTCCCATTTGTAGCTAATATGATGATAATTAGTATATATATTTATTGATGAATATATCAATACAACTATAATTGTTTTTATAATTTTTTTTTTTTTTGAAAAAATTTGCATTTGTAGTCCTCTAGTTATGCATGTGCTTCCTTAGTTATATCTCTGATCATCTTTTAACCCTTAAGTTATATGTCACGTGTAACGATTTTAATTTCTGAAAGACCAAATCAGTCATTTTTTTAAGTGACATATTGGTGATAGAAATAACCTCTGAATGATTAAAATTGTCACTTTAAACATATAACTTAAAGATTAAAGATGGTCACACATATATTCTGGGACTAAGTCTGTACAACATGTATAACAGGAGGGTTAAAAATGTAATTTTTTAAAAAAAAATAATTGTGTTACGTTCTAAATTAATTAAAATTTTCAATGATTATTAACCTCCTAATCAACATGGAGTTCTCTAAATGGGTTTGGTTATTGATTTAGCAGTCTGGGTTATTTGGAAATTGGTTCTTGAAATTATTAATAATATTTTAAAAATTGTAATTGTTATATAGATTTAAAAAAGATGCGGTGGCATTATGGTAATTTTGCTTATTGTTGAAAGCTTAAGGTGTGCATTTTCAAAGCTTAAGGTCCGTCATTTTAACACTTTAAGGTGTATTAGTTTTACAATTGAGAACTTAAGGTGCGTCATTCTAAAGTTTAATAAGGTGCGTATTTTTAAAGTTTAAGGTGCGTCATTTTAACATTTGAAGTGCATCCGTTATATACTTAAGGTGCATAAGTTCTATATTTAAGTTGCGTCATTTTAACACTAAGGTGCGCCATTCTAACACTTAAAGTGCGTCTTTGTAACACTTAAGGTGCGTCATTTTTACACTTAGCTTCTACCTTCTAGAATGCGCTTTAAAAAAAAAAAATTCATTGATTTGAGTCGTTGAACTAGATTTGATCAACGATTCAGATCTTACCGCATGTTTCATCTAAGAGACTTTTCGCACCAGATCTCATCATGAGCAATTGCTTAGACTGAAATAATGCATGTCTTGAGTGGACTCCACCTTTTGAAATATTCATCTAAAAGCGTTTACCAACTTCACTTAATGAGCTAGACTTGGGTGGAGAAGATTAGAAAATTAGAATGATTATTAGTATAAATTGTAGAATAGAGATGTTTGGTTTTGACTTTTTCTTTGGCATAAGCTTTCACCGCCCATGAACACCAACTCCATTTCAGTATTCATGATGACTACTTTTTTCCTAAAAGAAAATTAAATGACCTAAATTCAATCCACAAAAAAGATAGATCCAAATCATCCAATTGTCTCTAATTTGATCAATACTTGTGTTAGTTTAAATTTTTATCAATAATTCTTGAGTGATATTATTTATATAATATCAATTAATGTAATAATATGTAAATTCGAATTTTGCTAATTAATATAGTTCTTAGATGATAACAAAAAACAAAACAAGAAGTAGAATTTAACTTGAATATGATATGAAACAAGAACTTCTTGGTTGGCAAATGGTTGAGTATTGATAGGAAATACGATGGTTTATAAAATTATTAATTAAAAAAAAAACTCCTGAAAGTTAAAAATTATCAAGAAGAGTTCGAGTGCAATTTTATACATGAATATTATACAAATTTCCAAATTGAATATTTATGTTAAGAAAATTGAATGTACCTAATATTATTCATTTACTAAATAGTCTTATAACAATTTACAAATCTTTTGTGTGACTGTAAATGCCAAAAATTATTTTGATAAATTTCTAACCTCTTCTAAGAACTTCAATTAGAATTTACTAAAAGATAAAAACCAATGACACATACACATATATAGGAACACTCACATGATAACCTATTTCTAATAAAAAATAAAGAATCAATCCCAATATCTATCAAGAAAAATGTATCATATTTGGAGCAATGAAAGAAAAAATTATGTGAAATTTTGATAATTTTCTTGAACTTTAAAGTTAAGTACACTTCGCAACATTACATGGTTCATTTTGCAACACTACATATATAGTATACTTTTCACATAAACTTTAAAGTGTACTTATTAACAATACTTAATGGTACACTTTGCACCACTACAAAGTGCGCTTTTACATAATACTGGATGTCTGGATGCACTCTACAATGTTACAAAGTTCACCCTATAATATTACAAAATGTACTTTAAAGTTTAAGTTATTTACCAAAATGCATTGTGTTATTTTATTCTTTGCTTTAGAACTGTTAGATCTGATCGAATGGTCGACTAATAATAGTTTATAGTTTTCTCCCGAAACAAGTTTACACTATTGAAATGATTTGTAAAGTTAGCATTTTTCGTGTCTGTGTCATACGCGTCTTGAGTAGTAAAGAGGCCTAATTTACTAAAGACACAAATGACTCACTTTGTACTAGTGCAATATGAGTATTATTTAAAAATTCTCAAAATATATATTTTTTATACATTGATTTTGTGTGTGTTTTAAGCGATTATTGACCAATTAATGTCATTTTAATGAACTTATAGTATTGTTATAATGAATATTCAATCATATTTGAAATAATTATTATGAAATAATTATTTAAAAGACTAAATTTAATGCATGGTCGTAACACAAATTATAAACTATCACAATATTCAATTAAAATTAGTAATTAATGATTCATTCAAGATCAAATGCTATTTAAAAAATATATATACTACACCTACGATCTAAAAATTGTAAGGCACAACAATGTGTTCAGGAAGCAGGCTCAAATATATGCACTCGCAAAACAATATTCATTTCAAAGGGACAACATTGTGCTCGAGAAGGCATGACAATATGCTCTGCAAGAAGGAAAAAAATGCTCTGGAAGAATAAAAAAATTAACTTACTTACACAAAAGTATCATAATGCTACCATGTTTTTTTTTTAATTGCTTCATTCTGAACATTGATCTGGACTGAATCAATGAATAAGATTAAATCATATTTTTCACCTAAATCTTCTTTTTCACTTCTGTTATATATATATATATATATATATATATATATATATATATATATATATATATATATATATATATATATATATATAATTAGGTTCTGGTGCGGTTAGAGTGCTCAGGTGCAGTTTAATCTGGGCCATTCATCTTGCGTAAATCAACGTCCAGGATTATCAAAATTTTTTTTTTAAAAAAACACGGTGATAATTTTGTAATTTTTGAATCTAGGTCAAAATTAATGTGAGCGGTTCTGTGATTAATGTGCGTGAGTTTTGTATATAAGATGCGTGAGTCTTGTGCATAAGGTGCGTGAGTTTTGTGCTTAATATGCGTGGGGTTGTGCTTAATGTGAGTAGTTGATAAAACTTAAAATTTGGCTTTTGTGTTTAAGGTGCGTGAGATTTGTTCTTAATATGAGTGGAGTTTGTGCTTAATTTGCATAGGGCTTGTGCTTAATGTGTGTGGGGTTAGTGATTAATGTCAGTAATTGTTGAAACTTAAAATCTGTGAGTTAGTACTTAAAGTGCGTGGGTTTTGTGCTTAATATGCGTGAGATTGTGCTTAATGTGCGTGAGTTTTGTACTTAATGTGTGTGAGTTTGTGCTTAATGTCAGTAGTTGTTGAAACTTATAGTCTGTGAGTTAATACTTAAATGCGTGGATTTTGTGCTTAATGTGCGTGAGATTGTGCTTAATGTCCGTGGGTTTTGTACTTAATGTGCGTGAGTTTGTGCTTAAGATCTAACACTTAAAGATCGCGTGGCTTTCTTCCAGACACGCGTTTTTTTTTTTTAAATTTTCATTGATTTGAGCCGTTAGATCTAGATTTGATCAACGACTTAAATATAACCGCACAACCGCACGAAAAGCTATACCCGTACATGAACCCTTCCCTATATAAAGCTTTGGATCCATGAGATTGATGAGGATATGAGGAGGTAAGAGCCACGCCCAACTGTAGCCGACCAAGCTTTGCATTTATGAGATTGAGGAGATTAGGAGTCAAATTAAAGTCACACCAAACTGTTGTCGCCCAAAGCTTAAAAGCTAAGTTTTTGTCTTTATGAGGAGTCAAACTTTAACGTAGAAAATGATCATCAAAAGGAAATTAAATGTAATCATCTGAGAAGTTTTTTGAACTTAATTATTTTTAACTTATCCTTAAATGATCATCCTTATAAAGGCACCGGCCCTTATCTCTCCTTAAATGATCACCCTTTAGTTTACTCAATCCTCTTGATCCAATGCATGACTTAAGGTTCTAACCTTTAACGACTCATACTAATGTTTGATTCCTAAACCCTAACAATAGTATTATTATTTTTAGTGTTTGATTCTGAAAAAGCTATCAAATTGAGTTTATTAAGAAAATGTTATGACAACCATCTAAGAATCATATATATATATATATATATATATATATATATATATATATATAATTAATAATTATTATTTAAACTTGATTATGTAATTTTCGTAATATCAATTGAACCAACTATATCCGGAAAAGTAATTAAATAAGAAGCCTTTATTATTAATTTATTATACCCAAAAAGTGGATACTTATCCATTTCAATACCCACTCGAGTGTATATATAGAAGAACATTTTGTTTCTGATACAGCAGCTAAAATCTTTTTGTTATATTTGCAAAAAAAAACCTTTTAAAAACCGACAGTGATAGTCTTCAAGAATGAAGTTTGAATATCAACTTCATTTGTTTATACTCTCTCTCCTCTTTGTGCTTATTTCATCATCACCCACAAATCAAAATCAGCATCATCAACACCCTGCTACCATTCTATGTTATCAACTTGAGAGAATCCAACATTGCTTATCATTCCAACCACAACCATCAATATTAGCAAATGATATTGATATGAAATATGGGATAGGGAAGAGGTTGGTACCTACCGGTCTAAACCCTGATCATCCACCATCATCAACTTCAACAAAAGATATTGGTCTAGGATATGGAGTGGAGAAGCGATTGGTGCCTACTGGTCCAAATCCTGACCATCAATCATCATCAACGTCAACTAAGGTTTTAAATTTCATATTTGAAGGGGTGAAAAGACTAGTGCCTGGTTCAAATCCTAACAATCCACCATCATCAACTCCAACAAAGAATATCGATCGAAGATATGAGAAAGTGATGGGATTGGTGTCTACCGGTCCAAACCCTGACCACCCACAGTTGTCAACTTTAACCAATGATTTTAATTTGAGATTTGGAGAAGTGAAGAGACTAGTGCCTATTGGTCTAAATCTTGACCATCCACTATCATCAACTTCAACAAATGATATTGATCTGCTAAGAAATGGGGTAGTGAAGAGATTAGTGCCTACTGGTCCAAATCCTGACCACCCACCATCGTGGACTTCAACAATGGATTTTAATTTGAGATTTGGAGGGGTGAAAAGACTAGTGCCTACTGGTCCAAATCCTAACCATTCACCATCATCAACTTCAACTGGTCCCAACCCTGACCACCCACCATCTTTGACTTTAACAATGGATTTTAATTTGAAATTCGGAGGAATGAAAAGACTAGTGTTTACTGATTCAAATCCTAGTCATCCACCATCATCAAATTTAACAAAAAATATGAATCTAAAATATGAGGAGACAAAGAAATTGGTGTCTACCGATCCAAACTCTGACCACCCACCATCATTGGCTTCAACACATAATATTAATTTCTGATTTGGGGTGGTGAAAAGAGAAGTGGCTAGTGGTCCAAGTACTCCTGACCATAATGCCAACCATTATCCCCCTACCATCGGCTTCCCCAAAGGATTATTATAATTTGAAGTGGTGAAATGTTGGTGACTAGTTGTGATTTAATGGAATAATAATATGATTCGTTTTAATTAAGGCATGTTATTATATCGACTTACTTTTCTATGTGTGTTATGTATGTGTGATTTCAAAGAACATGCCAGTGAGGGACAAGGATGGTGGCCAATTTTTTTCATGCTTAGAAGTCACATTCATATTTCATATTAGCTGAGCATCAACCATTGACCATCATATAGAAATTAAAGGTCTAAAAATATACATAAAGAAAGTGAAAATCAATCAGTGATGAAGACGGCTTATGTAAAAAGTGTACAGATAAATGGTCAGATTTAAAAATTAACAGATTTAATTATCTCTTTCAACAATTTTTAAACAAGAACTTTGAAGATTTAAAATTAGTGTGACTTAAGTTATGATTGAATTGAATGAGATGAGATCATGTTCGAAGTTTGGCAATCATCTCCTCCAACACCGCCACCGACATTCCGGCTCGATCTCCTCGGTCAATCTGGCTCATAACCTCTTCCAACAGCACATTCTTCGCCTGCGTCTGCGGGTTTCTTTGACCGCCGCCGCCGCCGCGATTCGGGCAATCTCTGAGGAGCAAAATCAGCGCTTTCGCCTTCTCCCGGGCCGTCGCCGTCCCGTCCACCGTCAACTGAAGCAGCCCCGCCATGGCTCCTTCCCGCAATATCACCCCCCTGTAGCTCTCCCTGCAGCTCCGGCAAAGCCTCAACAGAATCCCCACCGCGTATTCTTTACACAACCTCGAACCCTCCTCCATAGCCTCCACCAACACCCCGACACAACCCGCGGTTTCCGCCGCCTCCTTCATCGCCGCGTCCGATGAACAAACCATGTTCTCAAGCACCGCCGCTGCTTTCTCCACCATCTCCGATGATTTCTCCGAGGAATTTATTATTTGGAGCAGCAACGCTACTCCTCCTCCTGATACGGCTATTCTCGGGACGATTTCGTGGCAAGTTGAGAGATTGTGTAGTACGGATATGATATCAAGACTGATGATCATGTTTCTAGCTGTGAAGAACTGTGATCTGAGCAGATAGAGAAGATGTTCAACCGCCCCTGATTTTACAATCTCCACCTTGTTTGCCATGCAAGAAGAAAGTGTCAAAAGCGCTGCGATTGCTAGCCCACATAACGATTCATTCTGGAGCTGAAGCACCATTGCTATCACTGATATTGCCCCAAATCTACCAATCAGGATCTTATTCCTAAAAATTAAAAAAGAATTAGTATAGGATTAGATTAGACTCTGATTGCTCCATCTCAACAAAAGCCTAAGCTGAAAGTTGGATTGCACATTCATGGCTATATGCTCAACAGGCTTGACCCTTCATGGAGCTTCGCGAAACGATATATTATACAAGAATCGGGAAGAAATTTGCAGCAAACCTTTCACTGCCATAGGCTAGATTAAGCAGAGCCAAGAGTGAGGCTTCAATGGCTTCATAATCTTGGGAATGGAGCATGGAGATCAATGGAGGAATGATGTCTTTTTCAGGTATTTTGTGGCGTTGTTTCCTCGTGAATTGCCCGACTTGCTTTGCAGCCATGACTCGGGATTTTGCATCGCCAAAGATGAGAGCTTCCACCACCATTTCCTCCATGGATGGAAGCCCTCGATCTCCAGTATAATTAACTACTGCCACCCTTCCTGTTAAGTTATTATCAGCTTATATATTTGGATGCAACAGTTACCGTTTGGATAAGGTATATAGTTTGCTTCACAAGTATGTAACGTCTTTGTAGCTTTTTGACACTCTTTTTGACATAATTGTTTGGCTTAGAAGCAATCTCTGTTCCCTTTTCAGCTTTCCACTTAACTCTCTTAGATGGAAATACCTTGCATTCAATCTCCACTTTCCTCTTATAGAAGAAACTATCGTCAGCTCTCCGTGCTACAGTACAACTAACATGTTGCCCGGTTGATTCCTGAGTGATAGAGTGTAAGCAAGTACACAGGATGGACCCAGATCAGAACAACCACTGTATAAGAGTTACCTCCATCACTAATGTGGTGGGGCTCCTTGTGAACACCAGACACTAGTCTTCTCACTTAATAGGTTACTAAATCATCATAATTTACCTTTTTAGTATCTGGTGAGCCGGGATATGGGGGCCTACGAGTGAGGAAATTTTACATTTTGTGGGCAAGAACATCTAACATGTTGTCCGCATTCAGTTAATTTCTAAGTGTTAGATTGTGAGTGAGGATACAGACAATAGCAATGTAAGAGTTACCTCCATCGTGCAATATGGTGGGCTCCTTGTGACCAGTCATCATAATAATTTACCTTTCCACAATCTATTGAGCTGAGATGTGGAGGCCTGAGGACGAAGAAATTTTACTTTTTGTGGGCAAGTATATATAATTAACATGTTATATACTTATATTATATTATAAATGGCATGAATTTAGCTTGGAACTTACATAAATGCTTGATTTATATCCAAGTTGTTGACTCACATAACGAGGTGGACGAGACAATATTAACCTAAAAAGTTTGGTAGATTATGGCTAAATTATTCAAACAAGATTGAACTTGGCACCTGAAATTTGCTTTGTTAGATTTGATGATTCACCTTCCCATGCATTACGAACAGATGTGATTGGCAAACGTGATCTCTTTCTTTTCTCAGTACTTTCAACAGACACAAGAAAACAGAGAAGAGATCATATATGAGATCATATATCTCTGACTAATAAGATTTGTTATGTTTCTCATAATGGATAATCTTAAAAATTCTAAGTGGGAGGCATGCATATCACTAGGAAAGTACGTAGTATTATTATAGTATTGTTCAATTATATTTCCCGATAAACAATGCAGATTTTCCCATATCTTTATGATGACAATCAGCTAAAACCTTTGCTTTAATTTGATTCTTTACTCAGACAAGTTTTCCTGTTCTTCCGGTCCATTACATACTTTCTCAACCTACTGAAACACAAAGAACCAATAACGCCTTCACTAGCTAAGACTCGAACTCACAACCTTCCAAATAGAAGTCCAACCCGAATACCATTAGACCAGATAGTCTTGGTGGGCAAGAACACTTAGTTAGTAATGAAATATGACTAAGGCAAGAACACTTTTTTTGAAAACCAGACTAAAGACTTTCATTAATCACTGAAAAGATTCGAAATACAATCAGGTGGGGTTTCAACCCACTCTCCCGAGACAGACAAAGAACCGGTTGCCAGGGCTAAGACATGAGCCACGCGGTTCGCTGATCTCTTGACATACTGGACCTTAACGGACCCTATGTCACAGGCAATCGACCAACATTGCTTCACAAGAATACCAACATACGATAAATCTAAAGAACAAGAATTAAAAACATTGCAAAAAACTAAACAATCAGACTCGAAAATGATGTTATCCCGCCGCAAATTCTTTAGCCACGTTAGTGCTTCTTTGGCTGCCAAGACCTCTGCCCATAACGCATTTGGGTTGCACTCGAGCTGTCCACACTTCGCTGCCACAAAACGCCCTTCATGGTCTCGTATAACAGCGCCATAACCAGCACCATTCGTGAAAACAGCAGCATCCACGTTGCATTTAAGATAGTTACGAGGTGGAGGCTGCCATTGTTCGGAGCTGCCACTCGTGACTCCCGTCGGGCAATCGGCTTGAAAAGCCTCTTTCCAGGAACTACGCAGGCGCAAGATTTGAATACGCAAAGACTCCATAGTAGGAGAAATATTCCGCCACACCTTATCATTCCTTGAAAGCCAAACTGCCCAAAAGGACGCCGCAAGAGCCACTGCTTCCTCTGGGTTCGGCAACTGCAGTGTAGCTTCCATGATCTGCTGTACGGTTTGACCCTGTAACGAAGGATTCAGAATCCCACTGCCTCGTGCGTAGACACATTCACACAGAAGATGCTCGACAGTTTCCCTGGGAGCGTCGCATAGAGGGCAACCACCGCCTATCCAGACTCGCTTAGACCTCAAGTTCTCTCGTACCGGTAAGATCCCACGAGCGCAACGCCACAGGAAAGATTTAACCTTGGGGGGAATCGGTAAGGACCACAAAGCATTCCAAGACTTGAAGTTTCCATCAAGAGGAAGATGGGAATTTGAGGCTGTTAATAAGCGATAACCATGCTTAACAGAGTATTTACCCGATATGTCGCCACACCATCGCCACGTGTCTTTGAACAGCGGACTGGACGGAGTTCGGATGATGCGCTGTATATCTTCTTCATAGAAAATTTCACGCAAAATTTCCATATCCCAATGGCCATGGCCATCGGTGAGACTATACACCGTAGCGTCATGCAGATGATCGCATGGGGGAGTGTTTAGATTTGGGTTTGCTGGGTGAGAGAGCCATCCCCAGCCCCATATACGAGTATCCCGGCCATCACCTATGCGTCGTCCCACACCCATTTTTAAAACCTCTTGTCCTGCCATAATGCTGCGCCAAAGGTAGCTTGGGTTGTTCTCCATAGGTGCATCCAGAAAGTCACATCTAGGAAAATATTTGGCTTTCAAAATTCGGCTCACCAACGAGGTCGGATAAATAAGCAATCTCCAGCCCTGCTTAGCGAGGAGTGCCACGTTGAACTCATGTAATTTTCTGAATCCCAGGCCACCCTTACTCTTTGGGACACATAACCGGTTCCAGCTGAACCAATGAATACCCCTGTGATCAGTACCACCACCACCCCACCAATAGCGGTTGAAAAGTTTTTCTAGTGTGTCACAAACTCGGGCTGGCAGAAGAAAAGTGGACATGGTAAATATGGGTAAAGCTTGCGCTATGCTCTTAATCAAAATCTCCTTACCAGCTTTGGATAAGAATCTATGTTGCCAGGAACCAATACGTTCACGAATTTTATGCTCAATGAACCGAAAAGTGGCGGTTTTATTCCTCCCTAGAGCCGACGGTAGTCCCAGATATTTGCCCAGGTCATTTGCTTCTCGGACCCCAATACATTCTGACACCAATGCGCGGGTTGCAGTAGTGGTATTATAGCTGAAAACGGCACTGGATTTGTCATAATTTATTAACTGCCCCGAGGCTGCGCTATACAAATCCAAACACTGTCTGATGGCCAAAGCTTCGGAGTGGTTTGCCCTGAAGAAAAGTAAGCTGTCATCAGCAAAAAATAGGTGGGAGACGGACGGGGCGCCCCGTGCAACTCGCACCCTGTGGATCGCTCCACTATTTTCTGCCTGTTGTAGCAACACAGATAGGGCCTCGGCACATAAAATAAAGAGATAGGGGGACAACGGATCCCCCTGGCGTATACCATGTGTAGGATAGACTGTACCCACGGTCTCCCCGTTCAGTTGAATAGAGTACCGCACAGTCGAGACACAGAGCATCAATAACTCTATCCAGTCCCGAGAAAAACCCAACGCTGACAGCATGCCCTCTAAAAAACCCCACTCCATCCTATCGTACGCTTTAGCCATATCTAGCTTTAGCGCCACCCACCCCACAGCCCCACAGGTTTTCCGTCTCAAGAAATGCCCTATTTCTCCCGCAACAATAATATTATCGGTAAGAAGTCTCTCAGGCACAAATGCACTTTGAGACTGTGACACGATAGTTCCCAGGCTACCTTTCAACCTGTTTGCCAGCATTTTTGCTAGCACTTTGTAAACAACATTACAAAGCGCTATAGGACAGAGATCAGACACTTTTTCCGGAGCTTTTTTATTTGGTATAAGAATAATATTTGCGTCATTGATCCCTTGCGGGAATCGTCTATCATTCACACATTGAATCACAAACATAGACAGGTCATGGCCCAGGATTGGCCAAAAATGCTGATAGAACGCAGGTGACATACCATCCGGTCCCGGAGCTTTCTCCGGGGCCATTGAGAACAAGGCTGCCTTTACTTCAGGTACAGTAATGGGCTGCGAAAAGGCGGTGTTCATTTCATTGGACACCACCTTTTTGACTCGACCAAAGATATTAGCCGGCGTATTCTCAGAACAAAAAATTTCAGTAAAATACCTCAGAACCTCGGTATGCATCGCCAAGTCTTCTGTCCAGTCCCCGGCTTGATTTTTCACACGCAGCAGCATATTGCGACGACGTCTGGCCGAGGCTGATTTGTGAAAGTATTTCGTATTGGCGTCCCCGTGCTGAAGCCACAGTTGCTTTGACCGTTGCTTCCAAAAAATTTCCTCTAAGGCAAGAACACTTAGTTAAATATAACTGTTAACATTTGTGTTAACACTTGTATTCTGCAATATTTTTGAGATATAAAAGAAAATAAGAGAACAAAATCTGGATCATTTGATATTGTACTTACTTTCTTATAAGTCATTAATCTCCCCTTTACAAGGGACATGGATACCTGATTAAAACTTATGAGATACAAGAAGATATACAAAACCTTACGAGAGATACAAGAAGATTGTGCTCAAACTCTTCATTTTTCAAATTAAATGTTATTGCGCACAAGAAATTTGTCCACTTTAGATATAATTTCCATAATGTCGTTGTCAAAGTTCGAACCATAGTCTCTTCTCCCAAATACTTTTTAGTGAACCAGTGAGTTAAATTCGGACAGTAACATTCAACCTCGCAGTTGCATTAACCATTTCTTGTAAGTAGGTTAGTTAGAGAAGTAAAGAATGTAATGACTAATTAATGAGAAGTAGTTATAGTAATCTCTGCATTGAAATACTGCCAAAAAGAAGATGGAAGCCACTATGGCTGCTTCTTGTGCTTACTTGCTACCTTGTACTACATCCCCAATTTCCCTTTCCCCTTTCCCACCTCCATCTCCGACCTTGCATTTCTTCAGAAATCGAATCCCCTGCTCCAAATTTCCATTAATGGAACCTCTGCACAGCGAATCTCGGACAAAATTCATGGAATTTCCGTACGTCTCCGCCCCACACAGAGACCTCATGGTGCAACTCGTCTCCTCCGTTGAGACCCGACTTGAATCCGCCCTTCAGCCTTGTACTCTCCCACCCGATGTCCAGTACTACCAAAACCCTACTGGCTCCGCCAATGCCTCTCTCCATGTCCGATCCGGCCTCCCCTCTTCCAGGGTATTATCTCTATCTCTATCTCTATCTCTGTTGTTGTATTTACTATTTTATTCTAGGTTAGAAGATTTATGGAGTGATTATTAGTTCAATTTTTGTGATTTTTGGATTTTGAAATTCCAGGAGCCAAGGTAATGCAGTTCAATAAAATTTCTAAAGTGTGCTTTTCTTAATAAACAAGCCTATGCTACTTGATTCTGTTACTACTAAAAGAAAAACTTAACCTTGAGTGTATTTTTAACCAAAATTTGCTTGGAATTGGAAATCTTGAATGGGTAACAAAAGGATCCCATCCAATTTTTATTTCCAGTTTGCCAACATTATATACTAATTGTGATTTGAACTTAAAGTATGTGATAAATCCATGAAATTGGCCTGGGGATATCATGGATCACCCATTAAAGTGAAGAGGTGATTGATTATGAAACATGGGGGATCTCATATTTTAGGGATATGATGTTAAGTGTCAATAAATAGTAAAAGAAATATATGTTTTAGATGGAAACTTAAAAAGGGAGAAAACCACCACTTTTCTTAGGGTGGCTGGCTAGAATCTCCAATGTTTAATTGTTTGTAAATGTGCATGGAGAAGATGGAGGATCGAGAGAGGTTTCTGTAGCTTGTAGATGATTGTAGACGATGGTCCCTTTTAATGTTCTTGTGGGCTTACTTATATAGGCTTCTTACATGGTTTGGTGCCTCTCCATTAATTGGTTAAGTACTTTCTTAATTTGTGGGGTAGTGGTCTTAATAAGACCACAGATTACTATGCCACTTAACTTTCCTTGATTAGTAAAGTTGAGTTACATAGTTGATAGGTGGAAATGGTCCCAGAGTAGATTGACTAGAGGGCCAATCAAGGTGTCTTACATTAGACAGAGATACCATGAATATGAACAAAATAGTTTAGGTATTCTTAGTTTAAAGTTAAACTTCTTGTGTGTATATTTAAAATAATGATTGAGAAAGCTCGTACTTATATAAGCATAACCAGCCATCTTAGCAATTACTGGTTTTGTCCATGCAACTGTGAGAACTAAGGTATTGATCCCTTGCTTGTTCTTGCTTATATAAGTGCTAGTTTTCTTATTCATTAGGTTAAGTATACTGGTAAAAGTAATAACAAGAATCAAAATGTGAGATTATAAATTTATAATGAAGGTTAGAACAGATTGATGATGCAAAATTGATGGAGCTATTCAATGTGCAAACAGATTGATTTCATATTGGGGAGTTGGGTTCATTGCAAGTTGCCCACTGGTGGAGCTTTGAACATAACAAGTCTCTCCGCCTATTTGAGACCCTCCACCGATGCACCAAACTTCTTAATTGAGCTCATCCGGAGCAGTCCGGTGTCTCTAATTCTTATCCTCGACCTCCCTCCTCGAAAGGACCTTGTCTTACATCCCGAGTACTTGAAGGAGTTTTACGAAGACACCCAACTAGACAGACACAGACAACTTCTCGAGAAGTTGCCTGAGGTGCGACCTTATGTCTCTTCATCTCTATATATCCGATCCGTTGTCTCTCCATGTGCCGTTATGGTCTCCATAGAAGCTCCTGCTGACCAGACATCACGCATAGAGGAGATTATTCGAGATCATATTAGTCCTATAGCCAAGGAGATGCTCGAGGCGTGGTTGGACATGTGTGCATGTGTTGAGAGAGAAGTCGGAGGGGATGAGAGTGGTGGATTAGGAAGGCGAGACCAGATCATTAAAAACAAGACAATTGAGATTGATCTTGGATCAAGCTTCCCTAGGCTGTTTGGAGAGGAAGTAGCGAACCGCGTTTTAGGAGTGTTAAGGGGCATCTACAATGCTTGAATTTGGTCAGAGCATTATAGAGTAAGTGGTGATAATTGTACTTACTGTTGCAACTGAGCTGTACTGCTATAATATGTATAAACATGCATAGATTTGAATGGATTTTGACTGTTGTGGTTAGGCCCACATTGTATTGTAAGGCAATTGCTACATGTCAATATATAGGAAGCTCTTGTGATGAAAAATTCCGTACTTCTCATCATAGCTGGCCACTTGGACTGTTGGACAGACTGGATCCTTGTTTAGTTGTTTTCTCAAACTATCTTCCAATCCTATGCTGCCAGGTCACCATTTTGAAACTCGGTAAGCTCACCCAAGATCCTGCCAACATTCCTCTAAAATCTTCGTATGGACAAAAGACACAACATGGGAATGGGAATGGGAATGGGAATGGGAATGTTACCAACACCATTGAATTGAAGCATCATTTCATGAGAACAATTTGCACAAAGACCAAGCTTTTAGATTGCTGTAGCAAAAGTTTAAACAAGAAGTATGGAATATGGATATTCCCAAGTTGCAGATAGATATGTAGAAAATCATCTAAAATTCCCAACTGTAACCTTTCTTTGTATGATTGAAAGTTCAAAAAAGTTCTCCAGTTATGAAATGAGACAGAAGAAAAGTTGTCAGACTCGTTGATCTATCTTCAAATTATGCCCAAGCCCAAAATACCATATTGTGGTTAAAGCTTCAAGAGTAAAATTTACTAACTTTCCCTTCCTATTCAATGAAGATCATAATATTTTGTTTCTCCAGGGATGAATAGGAAACCTCCATGCATGGTCTTCTCAGTGTTGAAGAAGTGAGACTTGTTGTTATCTTAGCTTTTTGCTTAGTAGATTAATTAGGAAAGCTAGGTAAAGTTGAAATGAATTTGTATTTGAAAAGAATTGAAACTACAGCAACCACATCTATCTTATCTTACCTTACCTTGAATATGGATGGCATAACAACTAACCTTTGCAAAAGTAGTGCTGTCCATTTTGAATTTTGAGGACCACAATATAATTATGTAAACCTCAGTTCTGATCTGCAGCGGCTAGGCCACGACTGATAGCAGCAATCAAGCACTGTTAACTATAAGTACTCTGTCACGCCTGATAGCAGCTCATGCCATACCAGATCAGAGCCAAGGTACGTGCCTGTGGAACGACTGTGCTTTGGAATTCCCCTTCCAACTCCTATGCATTATACTGTATGTATAATGTATCAACCCCCCCATGTGAGGCTCGTTTGTTCATAGTCTGATCTTGATAGCAGTGTGAAGTATAAGTGGCATTATATTGTTTCATTCCATACAAATTGCCTTAGCTTTGATCAGGTAGTTTATTTTTTCATGGTGACTTTAATTTAATAGCTTCTTTAATCAAATTATTTATTAAGAAGATGTATGCTCTTAAACTTGATAGTTATGTTAGAAGTAACATTATTATAACCATACTAGTAGTCTATCTATTCTAAACACCACATATATTACAACCATATAATATAACTATAATAATTATACTAACAATAGCAAATTAAATTTGGTTCATGGAACAGGTTGAAGATCAGATGGAAAAATATTCAAGCAGGTCAGGAAATGGATAAGATTTATTCTATTGTTTGGTAATTACTTTTATTCTTTGGAATAGTATTTTTAGAAGAACTAATTTCACTTTTGGTCCCACGACTTTAGAGGTTCTATCATTTTTGGTGCAAAACTTTAAATTTTTTCAATTTTGGTGTCTAACTTTGTTATTTTTATTAATTTTGGTCCTTTCGACCAAATTGACTGCGAAATATTGCTGGATTTTACATTTTACGGGCAAAATCGTCATCCCAAGGAAAGATATTCAATATCCAAACAAAAGAAAAATCATGTTAAGAGAAATATAAGAGTTTGGCAATCGTCGATGCTATAAATCTCATAGATCTGTGTCTAGTTTCTGTCCGTCTTCCCAATTATTCTCATCGATCAAACACCTATAGATATGATTTTAGAGTGATTTTGTTTAGATATTGAAGATGTTTCCTTGGGATGACGATTTTACCCCTAAAAATATAAAATCTGGCAATATTTCATCGTCAATTTGGTTGAAAGGACCAAAATTGATAAAAACAACAAAGTTAGGCACCAAAATTGAAAACTTTTAAAGTTGTGCACCAAAAGTGATAGATCCTCTAAAGTCGTGGGACCAAAAGTGAAATTAATTCTTAAATATAATGGGCTATTTCCCTTGCAAGAGTAATAAGTTATTCTAAGGAGGGTTTGGTATTAGGATAGGATATTCGTCCTATCGTGAACTTAACAATGCAGTATCTATTCGCCTCCATTGAGGCTCGATCACATAACCTCTCTTATAAAGGAGCAACTTGGTATCATTGAACAACAAGGTCCTTGGCAGTGAGCACAATACTTATAATCTCATCCATCCATTTGCAACCATTATATCATGGACTACAAGGTGGACCACTAACATTTTCTGAGTGTTCAAACGATAGACTTTGCATTTGCCTTTGACTATAAAGGGATATTAACTAACTATAATAGAATAACGTTCATTTTTAGTATACTGAATGCTCATTTTTAATACATTGAATGTTCATTTTTTGAAAGTTCATTATTTGGTATACTATCTAAAAATGAACATTTAGTACATTAATAATATAATAAACCTTCAATACATTAAAAATGAATATTTATCACATTACAATGTTGATCATGGTTCATAGTATAATTTGCCTCCATTATTTGGGTTAAGGGCTATTAAGGAGAAAAAAGGCAGTGATATTGCGCTAAGCAAAGCTTCACACTACTAAATTCGATTAAACTAATTTTAAAAGTGTAATTTAAAAGTGACAAGAATAGTGGAAATGAAAAGTGAAGTATATTTTAATTATTTGCTATAAATAAATTTGATGGAGCAATGAAATTTGGTCATCACCAACCAAACAAGTGTGGACAAACTTTCACCTGTCTTGATGCACCGTAGAAATGTGTATTTAGGTATATATATATAGGGTCTACAAACAACTTCTTCATAAATTAAGAAATTTTTATTAATCATCATTTTTGCTATTGTCAGGACGTACATTATAATTGGTCATGGAAGCAGATAGCTTCCAGTAGAATCTGGAGAGATAGTAGAGGTGTGTATGTGCTGAGTGGTACAGTTTCTATCAACATTTTTCATTTCTTATGAATTTGAATATAAGTGTATTTACATTAAATGGGTAGATTTTATACTGTCAGTTAGTAAGATGTGTATATATATTTAGATAATGAAAAGTTTACAATATCAACGGTAATAATTACAAGAAAGCCAGCAACATCTACTCGAAGATACACAAGAACACAGACCGACTCAAATCAAGAAGACCAATAGACAACTCACATTATGATTACCAAGCTAATTGTTCGATCGATTTAGCTAAGATTGCCTTCAAGTCAAATACTAAAAGTATAATGTGAGATGTGGTATATTTGTAATTTAAAAAATTGAGTAATTGGGCTTAATCTTTTCAAACTATAAAATGTTTCACATCTTTTAGTATCATTATTATAATTCGGTATGTGAGCGCCTATTCATATTAAATTTATAAAAAGATTTTAAAAAAATATTTTCAATGAATATACTCTTAACTATAGTCAATGATCTTATGGTCTAAAGACATGAAGTAACTTTTTCAAATGGGATGTCATGGGTTTGAGCCCCAGTGGAAGCGGTATTAACTCTTTGTACTTCTATTGGTTGATAAAGAGTAGTAGTACAATAAATATATTACATATGTAGATTTCTTATATACAATTGCATGTATGATCTTTATCTCGGATTATAAAATATTTAGTTTTTTTTTTTAATTCAGTTTTTAGATTTTTGCATTCTAGAATTACACCGAGAAAAAAAAAATTAATTCCTTAACAAAAAACATTTATAACACTTACCTCTGATTTTCAGAAAACTAATAAATGTCGCCATTATGACTCAACAGTTTTATTGTTTACTAAAATTTCTACGGTAAAATTGAATTGCGATATTTTAAATATTTTTTTATATATATAATATTTCTTGTCTGTGATAACATATCTTCGATTTATTCAAAAAAAAAAAATATGAGCTATAGTTTTTATTATTTTATTCTTTTTTTATTTCAATAAAATCAAGACATGACTTGAGAGTTCTACTCCATATATCATTTTTTTGCTATTGGTTATTAATGCAATCAATACATCATGAGTACATTATACTGTTTGATAGGATCTACTATATATATGAATTATTATAATAGTAAAATGAAATGAATGAATGGGAGATGTTTGACCGGGGGTAACTATCCTAGCTAGGTATAAATTAAAGAGATAAATTAAAGATTGTAAGGTGAAAGATAGTGACAGTGTGAATGAAGTTGACGTGGCGACGTTAGGTTCGTTGCTAGAAAGCCACAAAACAGCAGCAATATAGGGCCCGGTATATTATATATATTATATTATCCAAGATTGAGTCTTTCTGACTTATGGTTCAACGGCAAGAGAGCTAACTATATGGTGACAAATAAGTATCACATCAAAACCTAAAATATGCTATCTAGCAGTAGTCTGTGGTCACTCATGATATGATGGTCAAAAAGCCATCCATGCATGCACCTACTCCTCACTACCTAGCTAGCCAATTACTCCCACCATCAAAACGTTTTCAAAATAAAAAAAAAAAATACTATGTGTACTTTTTTTTTTTTTCAAACTTTTATTTTCACACACAAAATATTGATATAGACACTTGCATTGGAATTCACATATATAAGAAAGTAGTTTATCAGGTCCACCACATCAGAGAGAAATTTAGGGTGTAAGATTTGAGAGCTCACACAGTAGAACTCTTTAAAAATTGAATAATAACCTCCTGGTCATTGATTTAGTTAATGAAAAATCTGCATGCACGGGCTTAGTTCACTAGTTGAGTATATGTTATTTGAGAGAAGAGATCAAGGTTCGAACCTCGGCAGCGGTAGTACGTGTGATGATTATGTCTAAAGTGAGTAGATCCCTTGTGCGCACCGACATTTGGCCCTGTCTGTTGAGCCGCGCGCCATTGAGTCATTGAGTCACCGTGATTTACACCCTCCCAAATGCTCAGTCGGGACGGGGTGTTGGGGATTCAATCTTTTTGGGAGAAGTTAATGAAAAATCTTATTTAAGATTCGTTTTTGGAAGTAAGGTGGGGTTTAATTCCTGTCATAAATATTGAGGATTTAGCTTTGGGTTAGACTTCGTATTCGTAGAACTTTACATGTTGGTGTTGAGTCTTACGGATAAATTTGATCAATTTACTAGCTTCCTCATGGATCTGGTGATGAGTTCATGACGTCCCGGATATAATATATAATCCTATCTAGCGAAGTCAAAAACCTAAGTTATTAAAAAAAAAAAAAAAAAAAAGAGGCAAATTCTCCCATGATGATCCGTGAGACGGGTTAGGTTTTTTAATTTATAAGTATTATATTTTTTTCACATAAGTATTACAATTTTCATCAAAAGTAACTCTTCAACTCTTAATATTACATTTTGATTTAAAAATATTACATTTTTCGGCACAAGTATTACACTTTATATCATAAGTAACAATTAAACCATTTATCCCTGCTTAGCATTACATTTTTTTTTCTCATATAAATAAATATTCAATCCTGAATATTACATTTTGATTTAAAAGTATTACACTTTTCCTTAAAGTAACCAATAATTTATTCTTTATTAATATCACATATTTTCCAGCATAAGTACTACATTTTCATCATGATTCGGCTTGTTTCACATATAAAGATATATGAGACGGTCTCACAAGAGACTCACTCATTAAAATAATTGAGTAACACTATTTGTATAGTGGTTTGAGAGAAAAAATATTTCTTAACATGTAACACATCATGATGAGTGACTAATTTTATCATTATGGGCCCTTAGGATTGGGGTTCAACCTTTTGGAAGAATTTTATCATTAAAAAATCATCTGATTTGATAATCAAATAATCACAATGTACACATTACAATATATTTTTACAACTATTATCATTTTCCTTAAAATATAAATATAATAGTTACTTTTTATGATAATAATTTTGTCTAATGTAATGTATTTTAATTGTTAAATAACATATAGAGCTCTGATTTAGTAATAGTTAGTAGATCACAATATGTTACATTAAGTAAAATTTTTACCATCAAAATGCATGTAGTATATTACTCAGCTCATTAAAACTAATGAAAAAAATATAAGCTTCCATTCTAAAATTATTATTATCTTTATTTCCAAGAATAGTAGAAAAAAACAAAAGTATTACAGGGCGTTTGGTTGGAGGGGGGAATTATGTGGGAAAGGAATTGTAATTCTATGGGAGTTGAATTACTGGGAATAAAGTGAGAATTTAAATTCCAGTGTTTGGTTGACAGGAATAGAATTACTGGAAATTTCAATTCCAATGTTTGGTATACATGGGAATTGAAAGGAAATAAGTAGTATAAAGTCAAAAATGTCCATTATTGTTGTTAGACATTTATTTTAGGTTAAAAAAGGAAGGGGTAATTTTGACTCATCACTATCTTTTTTTCTCAGGAATTAAAATACTAGGGGGGGGGGGGGGGGGGGGACATGGGATTTTAATTCCATGAAAATGGGGGAATTGCAATTCCCTTCAACCAAACTACGGAATTTAATGGCCTTTGGAATTAGGTGGGAAGGAAATTTAAAATCCCTCCAACCAAACGCCCTGTTATAGGTTTAACTTTTTGTAGAAAAACAAAAGAATCTTTCAAGATATGAAGCTCAACCTATTTTGAAATTAAAAAAAAAAAAAAAAAAAAAAAATTACTTGTTCGAGATGAGACGAAAAAAGTAATTTAATATATGTAAATATTTCAGCTCAAGATTTGATTTGAACAACTTTAATATTAAACAACAAAGACATGAATCATAAGATAAGAAATAAATACATATAGGGAGCAAGGTAATATTTATATGCAACTAACAAATAAAGTTTGTCCTAACTATGTCGATATAAATGCACCCATCTACTTGAGGGAGGTGACAGCATTAGAGGGTCCCCTGCCCTAACCAAAATTTATTTATTTATTTATTGTTGTTCCCAAAAGCTTGAATCCCCAGCCCCAAAGGTCCCAAGATCGAGCTCATTCTAAGAGGATGTAAATTAGGGTAACTCGATCAGCTCAACACAGAGGCTAGAAGCCCTTCACTTTAAGGTTACTCTCATACTGTCTCTGCTGAGACTCTATTTCTGATTATTGTTTTGAAACTTTACCCATATGATTAACTAACTGAGCTGTCCATGACGGCTATTTATTTATTATATACTAAGATAAGACGAGGTGAGGGAGAAACTAATAATACTGTGTTCTGGGTTTAACGTTGGTGTTTCACCCACACTGCTCCAATGTCGCTCTAGACACCCCACCCTGCTTCCATATATGGACTACACAGAATGTACAACAACCACAGCTCCTCCGACCACAACAAACCCTTAGGGGCGGCTCCTCCGATTATGAGTCCCCGGATCTCTTTCTCCAACGACTTTGTCGAGTCCAGTAACGGCGGCGCCGCCGCCCATCACCACTACCAGCAACTCATCAAGAATTACCGGGACGCTCCCGTTTCTTCCGATTTTGAATTCTGCGTCTCCAACTACTCCGCCATGACCATGAGCGCCGACGAGCTCTTCTCCAAGGGCCGCCTGTTGCCCTACAAGGAGACCGGCGCCGCCGCCGCCGCTCCTAACCACCACAAGACCACCACTCTCAAAGATGAGCTTCTGGTGGAGGACGACGATGTCTCCCTCAAGCCTCCCAAGAGTCCGACGAGGTGGAAAGGGCTTCTGGGCCTCAGAAAATCCCACATTGGCTCCAAGAAAGTTGACAAGAATAGCGAAGACAAGAGAGATGAGGTTCTTGCCACCAAGAACTCATCACGGGTATGTTAAAGATTCAATTTTTTTTTAAAAAAAAATCATTTCTTTGATTCTAATTATTCACGTAGATGTAATATGGATTTGCAGGATGCATTGCATGGTGGAGGATCAAGCTCATGCAGGGACATGGAGTTTCGATTCAATTGACGTTGTTAGCTTCTTTCACTACATTATTCTTAGAAGAGCTTAGCTTATTGGAGGGGGTGGAAATATATTGTTATTAGTGTGGTTAGGAATTGGTATGACTTCTGTTTTAACTTGGAAGTTTGGGTAAAAACAAAAAACAAAAAAATTAGCTAGTCCGATGAATATGTTCTTGGATTTGGATTCATTTTCTATTAATTTAGTGTTTTCAAGCTTCCTTGTTTCATTACACCATTTTTGGCTGTTTCTTCAATTCTCTGTACCATAAATATATATAACTTCTTATTGTGCATTCATGGCTGCAAATGATATATGAATTGAAGCTAACCACACTATCAAACTTCATATATAACCATTACATCCTTACATCTTAACAACTTATAACACAAATCAATAATCTCTTATGCCCAGAAAAGTAACTCAATCGTTATTTATTTCATTCTTTGACTCTGGACAGGGATTTTGAGGGTTTAGAATTAACCTAATCGTTTAAACTGAGAAAGTTAATGTGTTTCTGGTTTTGATAACGCATCAATTATAACGTGTTACGTTAAACAGAATCTTTAGGGCGAGGAATATATTATGATATTTTTGTAATGTGGGATGGGGGAGGGGGAGGTGTTAATGAGGAGGAGTCAGCAGTCAAAGATGACAGCTAAGAGATAGCTGGGGGGTGGGGGTGGGGGGGGGGGTAAGGTTCAGATGCAGAAGAAGAAGCAGGAGGTGATACGTTAAGATTCATTGGTTAAAAACAGGAGGAAAGAAGAAGAGAAGAGAAAGCCAGAGGGTATTGCTGCTGCATTCATTATTAATGAATTGAATATTCATTAATTTCCAAAATGAATGTAATAAGAGAGGAGATGCCGGTCAAAAGTACTTGACGTCCGGAAGGAGCATCTCTCTTTCCTTTGTCAGATTCTCTCTCTCTCTCTCTCTTTTAAACTATATAAACAAACTAGTCTCCTCGCGCTCACCGCCATTCTTGTCTTCTTCCCCTCCCCTCCCTTTTATTATCTTTTCTACTAGTACTCTATTTTCTAACTATTACAACACAATTTTTTTTAAAGGTTTTATTATTGATGATATTCCATATCTTGATTAGTATTGGTTTGTGTCATTTATGATATTTAATGGTTTTTTATTATTATTTTTAGATATTATAAACATCTGTTGAAGGGAGAAAAACGTGAGAGAAACTTGCAAGACCAGCTTTTTGTCTGGTTACGTCGATAGTAGTTGGAGTTATCTTCTTGATTTAGTATTACTTTGCGAGCATTAGTTTAAGCTTTTCTATATATATATATATATATATATATATATATATATATATATATATTTAACTGTTAATTATGTCAATGTTTTTCTTAATCACTACAACATTTTAATGTTATAAATACTATTCGGTAATTCCGCAGTGTCCATAAACCAATTTAAGAACAACTCTATATATCCATAGTTTTTGTGGTGTCAAACTCATGAGTTAAAAGGAAGAGAAATAGAAGAGAGAAGGGATGAGGTGGTTGTCCCGTTAATTTTATTTATTTATTTTGTTCTGACATCTCTTTTCTCCTCCTACATGGCCTGAAAAAATTGAGAAAAAAACCTCATTCTTAGATTTACTTTTAAGATTGATTATGGTTCTCTTTGAACTTAGATCCTATTGTAGTGTAACCTTTAAACTAGTAATTTAAGACAACTTATCTCTTTTAGGCCCAAGCTTATGACCACCTTGGCCTCTACTTTACCTATCTCTTTTAGGCTGGTTCTCTTTCATATTCAAAACAAGGAATTGGGGGAAAAAAATCTTATTTGATGCAATTTAGATGAGTGTGCAATTAGATCTGATTTTTTTATGTACTAGGTTTTAACGTTTGTCACTAAATTATAAAACTCATGAATTAAAAAAGTTTATTTACAAAGTTGACTTAAAGTGAGGTAAGTAGGTGGAAGCTTAGATTTCAATTGAAGTGACAATATTTTAATTTACAACTATATACACTAGCAGCTGTCATTCTTTCTTCAAGTATATATGCACACCAAACTTAAATGTTTAGTTTCATAGTACATACGCCATGCATTGTTGCACGGAGTTCAAAACTGTCATAGCTTACGGGCTTAAATGACCATAAAGAAGTAAACTAGTTTAAATTGTTCATAACTGATCAGCTCAAATTAAAAAGGTCAATAAAATATTCCGGTCGAAAATCAAACTTGCGAATTTATGATAATCAAGTTAACAATAATCTGACCAATTTGACTGGGGTGACCTAAAAATAAGTATATATATTTTGAGTGGTGTGTATTAAATTTGAAACTTTCATACACTAAACATTTAAAATTTGAACATATATCACTGAACTATAAAATTATTTGCATAATATTTTCACCATAAATTAAAGTTTGACTTAAGTGAGGTATCTAGCTAGGATAGGTAGATAAAATATTGGATTTCGATTAGAGTGACAACATTTTAATTTACAATAATACATTAATACTTGTCATTCTTTGTTCAATTCAAGCATGCATGCGTATCAAAATTAAATGTTTAGTTTCCTACTACACGTATGACGTACCATGTACTGTTACACAAAGTTCAATATAGGTTTGATACTTCAAAATAAAATAATAATAATAATAATAATAATAATAATAATAATGTGATTATCGAGATATCACCTAAATGTCTTAAAGTATCTCCATCAGTGATTTTTGCTCAATTTCGAGAAGATCTTAATTGAAGTAGAAGACAGAAATCACAAAATGAGGAGAGAGAAGGATTGAGATTTCCCTGCAAGAAGTGGTTTTTAGTCTCTGAAGTGGGCCCCACCAAATATGAAAATTGGTCGCAATTGGTTGCGTCAGGAGCAACAACAGCGCCCAGTCGGACGCGTGCAGTACACGTTAAACTGTATTTTTTTTATTATTTTCAGATTTTTTTCCTTTTTTTTTTAATTTTTTTTTTGCCATCTCCTTTCATCTTCTCTTTCCTAGTTACACCGGTAAAAAACTCCTCAAAAACTATGTCTATTGAGGATACTCTTAGATACAGCTTAGATTTATTGAATTTGCTAAACTATATCCTAATGCCCCAAGACTTATGGAGGTAAATCCTGAGTTTGCCAAACTATATCTTGGCGCTCTAAGGCCTACGAAAGAGGTAAATCCTGAGTAACCTAGATTGCTCGACATTGCCAAACTATATTTAAGCGCTCCAAAACTTATGAAGGAGGTAAATCCCGAGTAACCTAAATTTTCCGGCTTTACCAAATTATATCCGGGAACTCCAAGACTTAGGAGGTAAATTCCGAGTTTCCTAAGTAGCATGTAATTCTCGCAGGGCACAATTAAGAATGAGCAATGCCAGCAAACTGTTTTTCAATTCTTACTATTTTCAATTCAAAGTAACAACACAGAGGAGAGCTCATAACCTAAATACTATTTTCTGAAGTTCCTAGGTTTACTTTCCAATTCAACTACAAAACACTATAGTTGTAATGTATTAAGAAACAGGGATTCTATTTTCATCTTCTCATTTCCATGCAAGGCAGAGGGTATATATGAAGCTGCACTGTAAACTCCGAGTCAAGAACTTCACCATGGCGCCTCGACCCTTTCCCGGAACTTCTCTTCATGGCTCTCGGCTTTCGACTTCAGAGCTTCAGCATCAGCGCCATATTTCTCACAAGTTTCCTTAACCGCAGCTAGCTTTAGTTCGAGCCTTCTTATCTCGTCTTCGGTGCGTGACTGGCCCGCTTTAGCCTCCCGATACCTCTTAGCGTCCGAGGCGCCCTCGGATCCAAAGGCGAGGCTCTGCAACCGTTGCACATGGGTTCGTAGAAACCCGGTTTTCATCCCCAGAAGCTCGAAGGACCTCAAGGACTTATCCCACTTCTCGAACTCCTTTACGGTGGTAGTGAGCTTGCAGGCTCTAATGGCATCAGCAATGCTCACGAGTTCGAAAATCACACCAACAACCAGCTCGCAACTAAGGCCCGGGAGAAGCCATTCGTGGAGGAAAGCGTTCTTGCTGCTGCAGAGCTCGTAGTATCTTCTCCGAACGTGCTCGGAGATACCAGAATCAACGCACCGATTGTTAACCACGATAGTGAAGTCCTCGAAAGTTTTTATGTCCCCGAACGAGACAGCAAGTCGAGACGACTTGGAATCCTCTAGAACTTCAGAAGCAACGCCATCGCTATCATTCCCAGACAGTTGTTTCGTGGAGCCTTTCTCGACTGCAATCAAAGGAAGAGACTTCTGGTGTTTCCTCCGTTTGTTGTTACAAGTAGCTCCTTCCACTACATCATACATATCGTTCCATTAAAGACCGAGAAATAAAATGTAAACAAAAACGGAGAATCGATGATAATACAGATTTAAAAGTTATCAGAACATCAATTCACCTACCTGCATTACTTTGTTTCGTAAAGACTTCCAAATTCAGGAGGCTAAGAGCACCATCCACCTCGGTTAAATCATTAGCCCTTATCACGTACACCTACAAATTTACATCGCTATTTCAAATCGATATTAAAGAGAAATAACGATACATAAAATCTGGCATTGCACCATCTAATGGTCTTAACCTTCTGAATTATGATATGCCCAAATGTCCAATCTACGTTTAGTTTTATGTATCGATGAATCTATCAGAATCTTTTATACATCCCGCATTCCCTTACTTAGTATTGGCAACCAAAAAACTTCATTCTTGTTAGGATTCACATAATGGCATATGATGTTATCTAACCACAACTAAGTTGCTAAGAAGGCTAACTTAGTTTTTCCTGGTGGCACAAATACACACATATATATGTAAGATATTGGCAATATTACGTACAATAGAGCGAATATGCACGTTTTTAATGTCACCCACCTTAAGCCTTTCGGTGCTGACTAATTGGAAAATCAAGACATCTCCTTCTAACAAAGTGTGAGCAGCAACGAATTTCCTCCAACCTGCACTAAGTCCCGTCTTCCCTGCAAGATATTTGACGCTAAATTCTTCCCCACTTTCGTTCTCGAGGACGAGTGTAGTGTCAGTCCTGGACAGATGTTTCTTACAGAACGGAACAGGGAAGCCCTGCGTATATAGGAAACTTCAGTGAATGAAACGAAAAGAAACGACTAAACACGATTAATCACCGGATTCAAAGTTATATACAGTTCGACCCGAAAATTACCATCCAAAAGCAACTACCAACGTGTGATCTAACTAACAGTTTCAAGAAGGTTGGATATTCCTCCCCTAGGCTTGACTGAACCTCCTCTGCACAAATCAGGGTTG